TTTGCCTGGTCTGCGTGCAGCTGTTTAAGTGCATTAACTGAAAGCAGAACAACTTAGATAAAGCAGACTTAATACAATTCTTTGTTTCGACAAGAAAGCTGAAGCATCACTTTTTTTCCTGTGACTGTGCCAGTCTCTCCATGCTGTCCCCATGCCCCATCCTGCACACACCATATGTCTGCGTGCAGCTTTGTGCCCCTGTGTGCCGGCAGCAGAAGGCGCAGACTGCAGGTCCGAACTGCACCTTTGGGCACCTGAGAGCTTGGCAGGTGGATTTCTGCATCCTAGGAGATGGACAATGCTGGAAGAGGCAGCAGATCCTGCTTTTGTGCTGGAAGATCTCAGTGCTCTGAGAGCTCACCCACCAGTCTGAACTAACAGAGAAGCGCTAGAAAACGAAAATATTTCCTGTTTCATAAATCTGTGCATCTTGAAACTCAGTGCAATTGATCTGCCTGCCTGAGGGAAAGGTTGTGATGATACTGGAAGGAATGCAGGAAAGGAGCAAAGGAGCAAGTCAAGAGCACTCCTCAGTGCTGTATTTGCCTGCTTACCCAATCAGTAACTTCTGTGAAATGGTCTTTCAGGTAAATTCTACAAGTTATTAGGGCATGACTTGCAGAAACAATAGCTATAGGTAATTTCCTAATGATATCTCAACGTGGCTTCCAGACTTGAATTTAACAATTTTCCTCTTATTTCTATGAGGAAAAAAAAAACCCCTTATTTGTATGGTTTGCTTTTGGTTTTTTTTCCTGAGATACTGTGTAAGCATCTTGTTGCCTTTATGAGAGGGGAGGATGTTTGGATACATGTATGCAGACCAGACCTGATACCTTGTTTTTTACCCTTTTTTCTGCTTGGAAGGTCTTAGACTTACATATAACAAACTTACATCTTGTTCCCTCTCAGAACATTAGTTTGAGAAAAAGTCAAAATGCTTGAAAATTTGTGAAATGCATTATAGTGTGGCACATAATTTCCAAGTACATTTTGCAAATATATAAAAAAAAATACATAAAAAAAATACATGTGAGTGATCCAAGATAGTATCCAATGTTCTCCTTATCCTGTGTGAAAACTTGCCTCATGTATCTATAATCCACATGCATTGAAGAGCCTCAGATGCTGAAAATCTGTTAATCCAAACTTCTAGTACCAGAAATAGGTACAACAGCTTGCTGTGGCTAAAAGTAGAAATGGAAAAAGGTTTCTCTGTATTTATCCTCTAGGAATAGGATATTTATCCTCTGGTCTGCCCTCTGCTACATTTTCTGTCCAAATGTGTGGTGGGTTTTAAGCCCTTCATTGTAGGAAGTTATTTTTGTTTTCTGTAAGAGAATCTGACCTACAACATTTTGTTTCCATATCACATGCAGAGTTTACTTGTATACCTTTTCCTCACACTTGGGAGTGTGGTGGGAAATACAGATCTCCTCATCTGCTATCAGAGTCTGTCATATGGTGTCAAATAATTCAGTAAGTTGCAGTCAGGAAAAGACACAACTGACTTAGGGAAAAGGATTGGTGACTATCATCTGTGTCAGAGTTGTAGTTGGGCATAGATCTAATTTTTTTTTTTATTGTTTAAAGGTTTGCAATCCATTGAATGTGCCATTCCAGAAGAGCAGAAGCTATTCACCAGACAACTTTAATTATGTTAACAAAATATGGGGAAGTTTGGGGTTTTTTTCCTAAATCCCACGGATGTGTAATGTCTGAAGTGTGACATTACCATGTCCTTCTGTAAAACTGTTCTAGAGCTGAACAGGGTTTTTCTTGCAGTAGAAGATATAGTCTTGCTTCCATGGCAGCTGCCTCCTTTTGAAAGCTTCTTCCTGATACTTTTCTGGTAGTGGTGCTGCTTCCTCTTTTTTATGAAACAAAACATTATAGTCTTTTTTGACATTTCAGAGTCTTCTTGGCAGCAATTTTAGCACCATTTTTATTTCTTTTTTTATTTTTTTGCTATGAAGATGCTTACTATTTATCTTTTACAGTTACAAAATACATAATAGGATTTTCAGCTTCTGTATCTAATGAAATAACCCTTGTGTAAAGAGAGCTGTCTCAGCATTGATTGTGACACAGAACATAAGCAGGGTTTTGACCTGAACAGGGGATGTGCTGACCCATCCCTTCAAATTCCCCATGTGCTACTGTAGTAAGCCAGGGCCTGGCTCTTGCTGTGGTAACTCTCCCTTAGGGTTTAGCAGAAGTCAGGACAATTTACAGATGATGAGTTAAAAGCCAAGCCAAACCAAAACTTGCTAAATTTTTTTGCAAAGTAAAACCAGAAGTTTTTCTGTTTCAGCAGAGAAGGGTGGAAAGCACCATTCTCCTCTTGTCTTACCCAGCTTTGAAGCTTTTAGGCTTTTAGCCACTGAAATATGTCATCCCATTTTTTATTTTAATTTTTTTGTGTTGCACACAGTTTCATTTTCCTCTGGGAATTCTGGCCTTCCCTCCACAACAGTGTCTGTCCAAATGTGTGGTGAGTTTTAGGCCTTCATTGGAGGAAGATATTCTTCTATAAGAGAATCTGTCCTATGAAATTTAGCTGCACCTACTAATTATGTTTTTAGAATTTTTGTAATTCTTTTTTTTGTCATTCCTATTCCAAATCACACGCACAGTTTACAATTAAAGAGGGATTTTTTGGGGTTTCCAGGCTTTTTACTCACCATGGGATCAATCTAGATGCTTTGATAAATGTCACTTCCCTGTAGATGTAGTGTCATATGTTACCTAGGCTCCAGTGTTTTTCACAGACTATTTAATTTTAACCTGCCTCATTCCGTTACTTTTGCTGTTTTTCTAAGTAAAATAATTAAAGTTGATTGGATGCAGAATCTGGAAAAGGTGAGGATTTACCATTATTGTATACCAATACAAGTCCCTGCTTAACCAGAGAGCAGAAAATTACGTATCTAACCAGTCTTTAGCCAGGTTGGAGTCTTTTCAGCCAGTGCATGTATTTTTAAGAAGCCTAACAACCAAAATGAAAGAAAAAACCATTTATTGAGTCTGAATTGAGACCCTGTATGCAGGAGTAACAGGACTGCATGATGAAGTGTGATTTTGATTCTGTGGGGAAGAACCAAAATAAAATCACTGGATTTTATCTATCCAGTGATGTATAAAGTTTCTGAGAGATTTGAGAAATCCTAATTTGTAGAACTTGCTGACATTTAATCACAAGTCTTATTATCTCTCTGTGTCTGTCTGTCATCTAAAATAACAAAAGGCATCCATCTAATATGCGAATCTGATCATGCAGAGATCTTGATGCTGGTTTATATTCCTATCTCTCTACAACACCTCCTTTGATTGCAGGACCCCAGAGGCTATTGCAATTCTTCTGGACTAACCTTATGTTTCTTCCTGTTCCTTGTCTATTCTGTGTGAAGCTTTTTGAGTGGTTTTAATCTCCTAATTACCACAAACTAGTAAATTAATTTAATTTTACTTTTTTTTTTTTTTTTTTTTTTTTTTTTTTTTTTTTTTTTTTTTTTTTTTAACCTTGAAAGTGTGGCTTCTTTAGCTACTCCAGTGTTGTAATTAGGGTAATACTCAATTTCATTCTCTGTGTTTACAAGGACGCAGTGTTGTACACCGCAGGGGATGATAAGGCCTGTAGAAGACAGCTAGCTTCTTAAGGAACAACTTTAAGGAACCCATGGAATTATGTGTATTGCAAAACAAGAAATTGGCAGTGTCACCAAAAGCCTTTAAATAAAACGAAATCTGTCTTTCCTAGGTGTGGGAGGAGTACATGGCCGAGGACAGTCCTTATCATAAAATAACGGCAAATAGGATTCAAGTGCATGCATTCTGAGGTATTGTTTGCCCCAGTCCGCAGAGAAGCTTTGCTGTAGGTAAAGAATTCATACTCTGTCATTTACAAGACCATCCTACCTACTTCTGGTCTTCCCAGCTTTGTGAGCGTTTAAGCGTTAACGAGAACGAGGGAATGTTACAATCTGAGGAGTTTATTTTCTTTTCCTCTGTGCCCCAGTGCAGAGCGGTTAGCTGGGAGCTTTGGCTCCTTCTGACTTCGCCGTGAAATGCGCTCACTTCTGGAGCTGACTCCAGTAAGACATTTGCTAACTGTTAATAGCTGTTAATGGTGTTACCTCCGGGAGACCCTGCCAGCCCTTCAGGCCCACACGCTTAACCCTGTGAGACATGGAGGTAGGTGGGAAATCGATTGCGTGTTGGAGCTGGCAGTGCCATCAGACCTTCACTTGAGAGACCACACCTCTCCTTTTGTCAGAGCTGTCGTGTTTCCAGCGAGGTTTTGTCCTGTTCACCGTGCTAAAAATACATTAAATGAGTAAGTAGGGGGAAGACGGTTCCCCTAGGACAATGATTTTCCTGGAGGCTGTGCTAATTGGGAATAGGCTTCCAAGTAATTCCCCCCGATTTTGCACTGATGGCATGTGTGACGCACTGCAAGCTGTGAGGTGGCTGCAAAAGCCCCCCGTTCTCTTGCTGTAAAGCTGTATCGTGTAGAAGTTAAAAATATCTCGTTTCTGGGATGTGTGTGGGGCAACCGGAGCACATAGAAACCAGATAGTTTTTCCTAGAATGTAAGGTGAATTGCTGATCTCAGGGTAGATGGCACCATGCGCTGAGCCTGAGTGAAAGAAAATTAATTCGCCTTTACCTGAAAGAGGGCTGCTACTTCTCATCTTTAAGCACGTATTAAGTCATCCAGTATTAGTCAGTGTAATTACGGAGGCTACAGAAGTAATTCCAGATAGCAAACAGTGTTGAAATGTACAATTTAGGCTTAAAAATAAAACTATTTAAAATAGATTTTCCTGCGAGTTAAGGGAACCCAGTGTGTTTGTCAGTCACCGCAATCAGACACTGCTCTGCACTCAGGGCTTTTTTGGCCTCCCCTGCTTGCTTCCTCATACCACGTTGGCAAGCTGCAACAAGTGAAAACTCCACCCTTCCTACAGACTGGGGAGAGTAAGTTTTATAAACGGCAACAGCTGGCGAGTAAAATCGGGGTTCCTCTGAAGGTGCTGTTTTCTCAGACAGTCGCTGCCTGTAGCTGAGAAAGGGGCGGGATCCTTTTCGAGTATTGTGTGTTCGAGTTGTGATTTGCTGAATTCATAGACTTTTCCCCTCAAAACCCCAGCTCGCTCTCTCTCTCTCTCTCTCTCTCCTATTTTTTTTTCCCCTTCCCTCTGAGAGAGAGAGAGAGAGAAAGGGAGAGGGAGAGAAGTTGACTTTGCGGCTGCATCTCAGCGCGCAGTCAGCGTTAGTCCGGTCCCTAGAGCCTTGCCTGACACCATGAGCTCGGAAGCCGATGACCCCAAGGAAGGTACGGATTTTAACTATTTTCGCAGGAGGGGAAATACGCACGCTGCTTTTCTGAGCATGGACGAGACTTTCTCTTCTCTTTAGCTTTCGGGGAGGAAAAGGCCTTTCAAAGGGGAGGGGAAAAGGCCTTTGCAAAACTGTTCGAGGTCCTGCCGATTTTGCAGGATGTGAAGTGAGCGAAGTGTTGGCACCCAGGGATATCTGTCTGTCTCGGCAAGGGTAATTTACTCACACCCAGGGTACAGATAAGTTGAAGAAACAGTGTTTCAAAACACTGATAGCCAAATGTCGAAAGAGGATTATTTCTTTCATTTGGAAGCCCTGTATTTTTCAGCAAAAGAGGAAGTTGCATGGGGGAGAAGTGAAAGGTCATTATTTTGGGAATAAGGTTGATGCCACTTCCCTGCAGATGAGTACTCATAAGTGTGCGTGTGTGTGTGTGTTAAAACAGAGGAATGTGCCAAAGCTACAGCGTGCTGCTGCTCCTGGAGTGGGACGTGTGGAGGGGCTGGAAGTGCTCCAACAAAAATGCAATTATTCCCTAGCGTTGATCGGGAGGGGGTTGTGAGAGGGGTTCGGACAGTGGGGAGCAAGCGGGGGAGGAGGAGGAGGCCAATTTCCTGAAAGTGCCTATATACAAAAGAACATTTATATAGATGAGGAAACAGGGCAGTGGTGGGGTTGTGTGCTGGATTTTTTAGAATAGAATTGATGTTTCATGCTTACATATAGTCCTTAGGGAGACTCATACCTACAGAGATACAGTATGGCTGAGCAAAACAACTTTAAAAAACTCAACAGAGAAGCAAGCAGCAAGCCGACCTAAGCATTTTGTGTCTGGTGAAAACAAGAACTTTTCAGAATGTTTAAGGTGGTTTTCCCCTCACAGTCTGTACAATTTCCTTCACTTGAATAAAACATTACCAGGGACATCTGTCTTCTTGCTTAGAAAAGGATTTTGTTGATTTCCAAAAAAGTGTGCTTGCACTGAATCAAAATCAATGTTAATAATGCTAGTAAAATCTGGTAAGTAATAGAGCACAATAGCCTCTGTTTTGATGAGAATAATCCTTATATTTTTCTTCTTGTCAAATGAACATCTGAAACAAAAGGCAGCTTTGCTTTTTTTTTTTTTTCTTTTTCTTTTCTTTTTCTTTTTTTTTTTTTTCTTTTTTTTTTTTCTTTTTTCCCAAAGAAGATTTTTTAGGACAGATTTATTGAAAAGAAGAGCTGTAAAAATTATTTCTCTTTAGAAAGTTTGAAGAAGAGAATATGTGAACATTATCCCTCAGTTTTACAGCAGGAGAGATCTGCTTGCATGCTATAGCAGGGAAGATCCTTTGAGATCCTTTGGTTTCATACAGGAAGCTCCAGACAGTTTTACTAAGCTGGCTCTATTTGAAATGTAGATTTTATTGTTTGAAGAAATGTCTTGCCTTCTTAGATGACTGATTCTTAAAATCAAATAGGATTGCTGTTTTGTGCATTTCTTCATAACAATTTGAAATGCCAGGACATGCTGAAAAAAAAAGCATTTGAAGCAGGTGTCTGAGACAGATAAAAAAACAAGGCTAGCTTTTTGATTAGTTATTTTTAACTTGGGGAATATTTGGGTTTTACTGTTCTTTGTTCTTAATGTGTTACAATGGAAAATGAAACAGTAACCATTGTGGGAAGATGACGTACAGATGTCACTGAGAAGGTTTTTCAGTCAGTCTGTAAATGTGTCCCTGATTATATATTCAGATCTTTAAAGGAACAACTTAGAAAATGCATGAGACAAGTGTGTATGTGAATAAAGACTGGGATTAACAGGTAAGCATGTAGAATTGCAGCTGTTACACTAGTTTGCCTAGTCTGATTGAACATTTATGGATGCATAAAATACTGAAAAATGCAGTCCTGTGTATTTGTAGTGATCCAGTGTATGTAGCAGAAAATAGCCAGTCTTTCAACTAACAAGCTCTGTTTCATGAAGAAACTGCTTTTTGCATAAAGAAAATGGATGCTTCACAAATTCAAACAAAATGTGTGGCTCAGATTTTTGACATTGAGGATATATAATTTTTAAGGGGTTTACCAAATGGGAGGTGATTGATTTTCCATTCATGTGCAAGACTAAATGTCACTCTAAAAGAGAAATTCTGATTTACCCACAAACTATATGGTCTACCAAGGGAATTAGGAGGTAAAGGCTTGTGACAGATTATGGAAGGAGTAGAGGGTATAGCTAGACAGTTATAGAATGTGTTTTATCAGATTCTGTACATTTCAAGGCCAAAGATAGTGATGAAGGGTATAGTATAGTGGCTAATCTGCTACAAGCTAAAAAGTGAAAGGAGGAGAAGGCTCCATGAAGAATGTTGGTTTAATGATGTTTGTAAGCACAGGCAGATTTTTGTTTTCCTTACTCCAGAGATGCCCAAGTGGCCAGGAGCTAGTACAGGGGTCTGTGAGGAGCTCTGAAGTTCACTTGTAGATTCCAGATGTGACTCCCAGACCATGTATTGGAAAATCAGCCTCAGTGAAAAGGAGAGTTGATGGTGCAGTAATAACATTGAACATTGTGTATGTTCTGCCAATGATCTGATGCTGAAGTGAGCAGTACTTCACTTTCAGCTATTTTCTACAAGGGAATTGCAGTAATTGCAGAACATTGGGATGTCTATAAAAAGTATATTTAGTGTGGATTATTTTTAAAAATCCACATGACAAGATCCAAGATTTTAGGCTTTACTACTGTAAAAATGAGCTATAGCCACTGTTGCAATGAAATCCAAAATCAAGGTTAATTTTGAATGGCAAACTCTTAAAGATTTTCTTTTCGTACTTAATCAAATAAAGGCAGAGCATTTGACCTCAAGTAAAATCTAATTTTTTTAACATGAACAGAGAATAAAAAGACATTGCTAGAAGACAGGCATTACCCTGTTATATATTATACTAATCGCTGGATATAGGGTATGCAGCAGTGTATGTGGGGTTTTCAGCTTCTGCCTTTGATGTCTTCGTGGTCCATATTAGAATGGTAACATGAAACAGGTTTTTTTGGCTCCCACCACGCTGCTCAGTAACTTCAGAACAATCTTTGTGTTCGTCTGTATCCCACAATGCTGTGGTAAATATGTGCATGTGTCTGTATGGCATCAATCTGCATTGCATTTACAGATTCCAGCAACTGTCGTGGTATAAATAACCCTGTGACATTTTCTTGTTTTCATTGCTTTTGCCCCAGATGAAACAAATTGTGCGTTAAAGTCCGTAAGAAGACTATAGCATTTAACTGCATGGCATAATTTCATTCTGGTGTTGATTGGTGGCATGTCACCTACCATGGAAGGTACCAAATGGTTTCAGGCTTTGATTTGACTGAATTCCTTTTTGAGATCTGAAGGGAATGTTATTAATGCTGTCATGTTAAAATTATGTATCATGAGTGCACCTTTTAAAATACATGGCAATACCAATCAAAATTATTGTGATGTGAATGTAGTTCTTCAATAGAGGGAAACAGTAATTTATGTAAAGTTCTGGAGAACTTCATCTTCATTCTACAGGTTTTATGCAGTATATGTAGAAAATAACAGGGGAGAAGTCTTGATATCTCAAAGGTAAAGTAAAATAATAACAGATATCAGAGTGAATGTAATACATAGCCTGTAAAACAATGGATATTGTGTTGCAAGCTCAGACACAAGTGAGAGCCTGCATTGCACCTTTTTCATACTTAGTTTTGAATACCACATTTCGGGAGAGAGAGAGAGATCACTGCATTCCTACAAGTGCTTGGAGATTTTTTTAGACATGATTAGCATTTTTTTAATCCAAATGAGATTACTGAAGAATGAGCTCACCTGTTTTGTTCCTTTTAGAACTCAGAGCAACACAAGGGTTATAAAATCACAGCGCAGTCACTGTTTCAAGAAGTTAGTACTCCCTCCTGTAAGTAGTCCTGTCTTTGCTTTGACATTTTGCAATCACCTCTCATGTATGAGAGTTTTCCAAGCTAGAATTGTATTCAATTAGACAACAAATCGACTGCTCTTGTGCTCCTACAGTCCAGTTACTTCATCTACAACATTGATGGGACTTGGTAATGTATCATTCTCCATCCCACTTACTTCAAAACCAGGATTTGTTAGAACCTTTTTTTGTTTTATGCCAGTGAATGGAGAAATCCAAGCTGTAGCAGTAGAGCACAGAATTAGTGCTTAACCCCACAGATTTGACTCACCTTCTGTTCTCACCCCAAAGACTAAAAAAATGTGACCTTCCTTTGTTTCACCTGCTCTTTGCTTACCCTCCCTTGTCAAAACAATAATCTTCATAAAGCATTAGGCCCAGTGAAAAGGGGGCCTTTTGTTGTAGTAGTCTGGACAGTTCAGTTCAGAAGCAGGAAGAAACATCTGGCCCCAGTGGATGTATCAGAGATACTGAATACTCAATTTGAGAACATTTTTATCTCACAGATAACTTTCTTACTGCTTATGAAGAGAATGAAAAGATTGCTGGCTATACATATCACGTACACAGCTTTGTAAATCATAGTAATGCTTGACATTACTGGCAGTTTGTGCAATCCCTTCTATAGTTAATTAGATTTATTAATAGGACAGGGTGATAGGAAAAAAGCATCCCTCTAGTACAGGAAAGAAGGAAAAAAAAATAAATTTGTGAGAGTTTAGAAAGAATTGTTACTAACCAGGCGCTGTAAAACCATATCACATATGCATGAGGAAAGCATTGCCAGAGGTACATATAGCAGGGGAAAAGGAAAACCCTGAAGAAAAACCCTTAATTTTTAGAAGAAGAAGCAATGGGAAATTTTGGGAGAGTAAGAGTACAGTACACAGGCAAGTTGGAACTGCTAGATTTTTTTTTTTTGTGTGTGTGTGTAGCTTGGGCAACAATGCTTTTAATGAAGCAAGATGCAGGAAATAAAGGGCTCTGAGGACAAAAACTGCCATTATTTGTAGCACAGCTGCTGCGGTTTCATTGAGA